ATTGTTCTTAAGAATAGTAAGTACCGTCTCTAAATCATCGTCCCTAGGACCAACAAGTTCATCATATATATCGGCTACCGCCTTTATTCTATGCAGGCTATGAAACAGCTTCCATTTATGAGCTTTACCGACAATTGGCACTTCGATACTCAGATAATTTTGGCGATGGCTGAACGCAAAATGCGAATTGTTGAAAAGCCGATTCCAACATATTACGGCGATGAAATTTGCCATGTGAACGGTATTCCATACGCTTTAAATTGTTTGAAGACGTCTTTTGAATTTTATATGCATCAGAAACGGAATCAGTTGATGTTTCCGGGAGATTATCAATCAAGCCGCGTTCTTAGTACTCAACAAAGCCACTTTTTAGCAAACGGTTGATTTAGAGTAGAGTAACTTAACAAAACGGGTTAGAGTTTCGACCGGTACGTCCCTGAGGCCATATCAAGGAAGAAAGACCATGAGAACGTATTTTTCCGTGCTGTGGTTCATCTTTTTGTGGGTTCTAAGCGTCATGTTAGGGAGCGTCAAAGGCCTGCTCGGAATCGTTTTTGCAACGATTATCAGCGGTTTGCCAGGGCTAGATCATGTATTTGGAATATCCTCTGTAGAAAAAAGTGGAAAACTGCTTACAGTTCGCAAAACGGTTCCATCAGGCGGAGCGCGTCATCCAACAGAAGCTATCTTGTGGGCAATTGATTTAGACTCATCTGTGAATGGTTGGTTGTGTAGATTTGATCCCTGGACGAGTAGTCTAGTTAAATTGGCGGAAGTGCCGTCAACCATTACACCGCACGATATATCCTTTAGGAGCTTGCCTAATAATAATATTTGTTTCGCAGTTCTATTTTCTTCAAGGGTTGAAAGGGCTCGTTGGCGATATAGGGATCATCGATCGTCACGGGCTATATTTGCGGATCTCGGACACTGCATTCAGCATTGTGATAATACGGCTTGGGCTCTTGGGTTCTCTCTTATATCGGACTGTCCGTTTTGTGAAAAAGATATTCAGCACCTATTGGAGATAGAATATTTAGATGAGCCGGTATTACATCTTTCTTTTTATCGAGAAAGAGAGGTTTAAAAAGAGTGCTGTATATTCTTAATACTACAATCAGGTTTTTCCCGCGATCTAATGGATCCTTAATGATTTTAGTTGATCCTTTGCATCAGAAACGCTTTGAACTAGTGGAATATGTTCAGTTGTTAAAGATTTATGGGGCACTTTCTGAGGTATATTTTCCGAAATGTGAGGATGAAATATTAGCCGTGATTCACGAGATATTAAAAAGTGGATCCGGTGATGTGAATAAAATATATTCAGCGCTTTGTGTGATGAATGTAATTATTCCGTGTTCAGCGAATTCCTTACAATCTTTATATAGTTATAATAGATGGGCGATTGATGGTTGGTATCGGGAGGTGCCTATCATGCTAAAGAAGATTTAACGGAATAAAATGAGTTATAAATATATAGCCGATATATATGATGAACTTGTTGGTCCTAGGGACGATGATTTAGAGACGGTACTTACTATTCTTAAGAACAAT